TGCATGTTAATAGACTAAGAATCTGTTATAATCGTATCATATAAAACATTTAAGGGTATATTAAAAAAAATAGTTTTTTAAGACCAAACTATATTTTTTGGCCAAAAAAAAAACACCAAACTATATTCTAAAAATAGTAATTAATTGGTAATAGTTAATATTATCGGATTAGACACCAATATAAAATTTTAAACACCAGAGATTACAATTCTATGTGATCTTTTAATAAATATCATCACTACATATAAAGATATAAAAAGATATTTAAGACTTTCTTATTTATAGATATTTGTATACAAAAATAGTCAAATTAAATTCAAAATATAATTAAATATTTATATGAATTTGAATTCTTCTTGATCACATAAAACGGTCGATACAATCACATCCGCACAAAATTATCGATAAAATCTCAATCGTTCAATTAACACTACTAAATTTTTATATGACTCACTATAAATTTAGTAATTGAAAGTTGATTTGAAAAAACCAATACTCATTGCACTACCGAATTTTTCACCTTTAATTAAAATATGTAAAAAACCACACTTTGAAAATAACTAGTTTTGTGACACAACATATACACCATATTTTTAGATACATTGTCAGAATTTTTTATTTGTACCAGATTTTTTTATATGTTTTATTGGATTTTTTGTTCGAAAAAAATATGTGAGGATGTTAGATATATGGTATAAGTGGAGGTGACAGGAAAAATTCTCCAACTTAAAGTGTCACGATAAACATGAGAATTGACATCTTATATGGTTACATTTGCAAGATTATAACAATCATATTGACCACTCTTTTAGAAAACTCACAGTTTTTTTTAAAAAGTATTTCAACAACTAATCCAAATGAATTTTTTTTTATAACCCAACTATTTCAATTAAATAGAAAAAACGGAAATTGATAAAATTGATTGAGTCTTCAACGATGGAAGGCAACACACCTAGGTCCTAGACCTAACCACTTACCAACACCCACTAGGTTGTGAGTCTCGGTGTTGGTTTGTTTACTAATGAACATAGCAGCTGCCGCCTTGAAGTTTTGAAGGAGCATTCTACATTCATCCACTAAGGGATCTAAAACATCAGAAAAATAAATAGAATTGATACAATCAACAATGTTTAAAGCGCCAGATTGAACAAGAATACGTTTTAACTTCAGCTTCCCCCGCAATTTGGAGTCCCCATTTAATAATGGTCAATGCTTTTGCAATGCTAGCCTCAGTCATGACATGGTCCCTTATGTATCTAGCAATGGAGATATTCTTCTTTTGGTCCCTGATCACACATCCCATCGTAGTAACTCCATCTAAAAAACACTCTGCATCAACCTGCATAATGTGAAAACCCTTGTAGTTCTCCTCATTCAGACATGTGGTGATTGGTTTTTCCTTCGCCCTCAAGTGAGGGTTGGCTGTGTTGAACTCCAAGACAAAATCCACTGCATTTCTTGCAACCTCTTACGCCACTAACTGTTTCTTCCGGAACAAGTAATTGTTTCTAGCATTCAAAATCTTCCACATGGTTGTAATGAACACTTGAGCACCAAAGTCCTCCTTACATTGTAACCATTCCATAATCCAGCCCTACAAATCTAGATAAATAAGTGTTGAGCTGTCTCCACTGCTGCATGACAGAGGTATCATCGAAATCTCCAAAACACACCCACTTGCTTCTGACTTCTCTAGCCAATTGTTTGATCATGTCCCAAGTTCTCCTTTAGTTGTGTTCCTAAAGGAATCCATAAATACTAGTAAAAGACTGAGGTTAGCCATCTTTCTCATCATCAACTAACCCACTTAACAGATTACTCGAGAAGAAGGATACCATGACCTTTATTTTTTCATTCTACATAAGGGCTAAACCTTCCGCCCTCTCTTTTCCAATCCATCTACATTCCATAGCTTGACAACACTCAAAACTACATTTCCTTTTGATTGCTTGAATCTCAGACTTTTTCATCCTAATTTCCATTAAAAATACCACACTGGGATTTTCCAATCCGACGAGCCTTAACAAGGCTCAAATTGTACAGGGATTCCCCAACCGCCTAAAGTTCCAACTTAAGGTTTTCATTAGGATAGGCGATGATGGCCATCCAACACCACCTATAAGGTTTGAGAAGTTGCATCCACCATTTTTGCATCATGTTTCCTTCGTTTCTCTCCACTTCCACAGTCTTCAGCTGAGCCCTCAACAGTCATCTCATCTATCAGTTGCATCTTCCTCTTTTGTACTCCAGCAGTTTAACTTGATTTGTATTGGTATTCCTTCCTCCTTTATGTTTGATCCACTTCTTCCTTTTGACATTTACTTTGTTGGCCTTAGTTGTCTCTTTCCGCTGATCACAACTGATAGCTACTCACACCTAGTGATTTTGCCACGCTTCTACCGCTAGCTCATTCTCCTTCGTTACTCCTTCCAACGCATTCTGATTTGTTTTTGACAATTCCCTGTTTTCCCCCTCATGTTCCACTTCCACCTCATCCTCCTTTTCCTTATTTATGGAATTGCATCTGATTTGGCTCGAGGATACATTGAAAAGACTTTTGCTACATGTGGCCGAACTGGAGTTTTTTGTCTTCTGATCATCGAATGTCCTAGACAGTGGTGAAGCTCATTCTCCTTCGTTACTCCTTCCAACACATTCTGATTTGTTTTTGACAATTCCCTGTTTTCCCCCTCATGTTCCACTTCCACCTCATCCTCCTTTTCCTTATTTATGGAATTGCATCTGATTTGGCTCGAGGATACATTGAAAAGACTTTTGCTACATGTGGCCGAACTGGAGTTTTTTGTCTTCTGATCATCGAATGTCCTAGACAGTGGTGAAGCCATTAGCCATAGGCCATAAGATAAATCTTGCTCATCCAGATCTTCAAACCCTTTTTCACTTAGGTCTTCTAAAGCTTCACAATCTTTAAGTTTGCCTTATTCTCCCACACACAAAACAAAAAGTAATAAGGCGCTCATATTTGAAGTAGACACATAAGGTTTCCTCCTTAAAGCACACCATTGTGCCTCTTTTAAGGGGTTACTTAAGATCCACCGTCACCTTTACTCTAAAAAATCTATCATTTCGTTGGCCCTTTTTGAGATCCATTTCTACATAAGATCCCATAATATCTCATATCTTCTTCGCATTGTTTCTGACCTTAGCATCAAGGGAAGGCCGTATACTCTGACCCAGAAAACACTGTAATGTATGTCCAAACTCGATGATTGTTCCTCCCCTAAGACACGATCCAGCACCAGCAGGTTCCTATCAAAACTCCAGGACCCATTTCGAATGACTGTTTCTTAATCTCTGTTCGTAGTGAACTTGAAAAGAAATAAGTTTACATAATTCCTGAGTTTCACTTGGGTTCTTGAGTCACCAAGGCCCCAACAATGGTGTTAGTGAAAATGCGTGCATTGAATTCTCAGTCCACAGCTTCCCAAACAAGTGTGGGTTGAGACACAATAGATTTTTAGAGAATGAGTATGGCCTCGCTCTCTAGACACGAGGAATCTAATCAAAATGAATCCAATTTTTTGTTTTGTATTGTAGTGTTGAGTGTGTCTACTACCCTATTTCCATCCAAAATGAACTTTTTATTGCATGTGTCGTGAGAACTAAATAACTGAACAGTTATACAAATGGAGCAGATCCTAACTCCCCTCATTCATAGTAAAAATCCAATTACACCTTCACATGTATTTTCCGTATTATTATTTTTGTTAGATAATTTCTCTCTTTTGAGTGTCTATTCTTGTTCTAATGATTGAAAGTTCTGAGATTTGTTTCTAGTGCTTTATTTGAATTTATTTCTTTATAAATTTATAAATACTTTAGAAGACACTAGTGTTTCATTTTTATCTCCACCTTATGATTTAGCTTTCAATTTTGCTCTGCTCTATTAGATGCCTTTTTAAAAAACTTTTATAAGAAAAAAACTTTTAAACATATTGAGATTTAGCTTTCAATTTTGCTCTGCTCTATTAGGTGCCATTTTTTAAAACTTTTATAAGAAAAAAAATACTTTCAAATATATTGAATAATTGATGTACTTATACAGTCCAATATATAGACCAAATACATTATTTATTTAATAAATTTTAAAATATTTTTCTTTAAATATAATCATTATAAATGTGGTAATTTAATGATTTTTGGTTAATCGAGTTTTTCTTGTAGTCCAAGACAAATCCATTGTAAATATAGAGAAATTGTAGTTTAAGATAGACGGGCATTGAGTTGAATTCCAACATCAGAACATACATAGGTTATATCTTTTATTGCTATTGCTAGGTTTGTATAAATTTAACATGTCATCTTTATATTCTAAGATAAATTAAAAAAACAAATGCCACCTAAAAGTCAGAAAGAGAGTTGTTTTTTTCCCAAACCAACCATTTCTCTGCAGAGACAATTTTTCAGTATTACTCAAATACACAACTAAACACAGTTTGGAATTGATTTTTCATATTGGCATGTCATTCTATTAGAAAATCCATCAGCTTTTGATGCATCTCCAGTGCTGTTAGAAAATGAACATGTTATTTTGAGACACTTTTTATATAGTTAAGCACTTAATTTGGAAGAGATGGATGGAGTATAAAATAAAATAAAATCTGAAAGTAAAGGTATCACTTCTGCTCTCACTATTTCCTCATTTTATAACAGCAATGGAGTAGTACAAATATAACAACATTAACTTATATTTCAAGAACAAAAAAAAGAGTGTCACTTTAGTACAACAGCCACTGCCACTTTAATTATAGATCACCTAATTCAACTTATAATTTAGTTAAAATACCAAAAATCAAAATGTCCTTTGATGCCAAGATTGGTATTTCAAAGAATAAATATCTATTTCAAGCAACAACAAAAGTGATACCACCATCTATGGCGAATATTTATAAATGAATTAAATTACCTTTATAGAAGAAAATGTTTTAGATGAAAATGAAGCAGCAACTACAGTGACACTCGATTAATCAACTCGCAAATCAATGGAGTGATTTCAAGTGGAATATCTGGCATCGGGGAACATATGAACTCTTTGTTGAAGCTTGCTCGAACTTCTTATTAGCAGCTTCATTCTCCTCTAAGTTATTCTGAAGGAAAAACTTAACCCACCAGGATCCACTCCTCATCTTGGCCTGAATCAGGCGGAATCAGTTAATTTTTTAATACTAATTTAAAAATAAATGGAATGTGATAGGTTGAAAGTCTAAACAAACAATCATCGATAAACGCAACGATAACACAGGACTCACCGCTCTTCCGAATTTAGAAACATCTGCTACCTTGGCCTTTTGATTAGTTGGAATACCTTCATTTGTAGAGAATATCATATATCATGTCAGTAACAGGTTCAAAAAGAATCTTTGGACTACCAGCATAAGCAGTATATAAAAAGCTTGAGCCCCAAGTAACTCAACAAGTTTACAAAGTCAAATAGAATGATATCCCCATTAGCTCAAATACACTTTTTCAAACAGCATTTCTGCTTTTAAAATTGTTAGGATTCTTTTTTAAGCTTGTAAAGGTTTAATCAAGTGCTTTCAATGCATAGGAAGTTGCAATTTCAGAGCTATTCAACGTTTTAACATATTTGGGAGGTTAGCATTCATCATTGAAAGGAGCGACAATTCTTAATAGTTTTAGAAAAGTGGGAGATAATCTAATATCCACTTTTTCTTGAAAAGGTGAGTCAGTTTGATATCCACTATCCTTCTTGAAAAAAAGTCATGTCCTCGAAGCATTGAGGCGTTGAAGTTTACCAGTAATAAACACAAGTGATTTAAGGCAAGTTTCATGCTAAATAAATCTCTTTGTACGGGAAAATAAAGTTTACTCAGAGATGGGAATCCTAATTCCATAAGATGCTCTTACCAGTAAATATCACTAAACCATCGGTTGATACCCTCACCAAATCTGGAAGAGTTTTATTGAGGTATTTCGGAGATAGGTAATCCAGAGTATCTGAAACAATTACAAGAGAGAAAGATTTTGGCCTATATGGAAGAGGAAACTTGATATCAGCCACACGCACACTGCCTCTACGGATTAGTGTTTTGCAACTACCATCGGTTTCCTCTACATCATATGGTTCTATACCCCAGGCTTCAGTTTCATCCTCTTTTTGCAATCTAGAGACCACATAGCAAGTATCAGGACCAACATGCAAAACTTTATGCATGCTATCTCCATATGCTTTCTGTAAAACAGGAATTGCTCGTTGGACTTCTCCACTGCACAAATAATCACCTGCACCTGCAAATCAGTTATATTATTACAAAATATATAAAACCTACTTAAATGGCGACTAGATGATATACTTGTTTGGGAGTTCTATTATATAAGGAATTAATTTGTGTCAAGGAGAATAGAAGAAAATACTTGTTTGGTAGTTCTATCATATAAGGTAACTTGTGATCCCCATCCCACCCCTACCCCTATTCATTTTTATGAACATTTCAAAGTCTCCGCTCAACCCCAACTTTGGAGGATTTTAAGCAACCAAACAAAGGGACGGAAACCAAACTCATCATTATGTTCATTGCTCCCTTTTCAAGGACTCAAGAGAACGTGTTTGTCAAATAACAGATTGTTGGCAATGATTTGACAAAGCTCTGTCTTCCAATTCCTAAATCTTTGCCTTTATTTGGTGGTAAAAATAATTGGGTGCTCGTGACCATAAAAGTTGTTAAATACAATAGAACAAAGCTAAATATATATACATATACACAAATCGGTTTAGGCGTCACACAATTCTAGAACAAAAAATTGAACATCATCATTTGAACATTCACATGCAAGTGAAAAATTATTTTACTGTCCCACTGCTAGGTTTTCTCTTTCGTCATTTACTCTCTTCAAGTGAAAAGGAGAAAACTCCATTTTTCTAGCATTTTATCTTGTATCAAACAATGTGTAAGTGAAGAAGATAAACAGGCAAGTCCTCATGATGCTATGGATTCTAGTAGGCATCAAATAGACACAGAAAGAAACAATCATTGTGCATTATTCTGATATAATGCCTCGAGTTTTTACTATCATTTTAAGTACCATAAACCACAAAACACCACATTTGATGCAGCAACCTCATTTACATGCAGATATCAGATGAAATAGGCATCAAATTGTAAGTGACAAATCTCATGCACATTCACATACGTAAACACCATATACATTTACATGACCGTGTTGTTTAACACTTCAAATTTAAAATACATCAAGGGGATAATTAATTAACTAGGAAAATAAACTAACACGACGTTTTCCTACACTCTAATTAATATTATTATCTTCTTTCTCTATTTCATTTATTCATTTTTCTTAATTTGTATGAAATGGTCAACTGGGTTACTCGTTCACTCGTTGTGGGATGAAAGGAGTAATAATCACTAGAAACTCATAAACAAAATCCTAGAAACTCGTACACACAACCATGAGTATCGGTGTTAGACCCAGGTGATAACGTCACCTAACAATATAGGGGCTTTTGTCGGTTGAGCTCTGATTTACAGACATTCCCATACCAAATAAGACACAAATTACAAGCAATTCAAATTAAAATAAATAAAATTACACACCAAATTTAAAAATAAAAATAAAAACACCAAAATAGAAATAATAATAGAAGATTGAAGCTGAAACAAATCCTAAAAAGTACCTTCAACCCTGCTAACAGAATCTAAACGGCTTCCACCACCTGAACCCTTGTAGAAGTAGCCAACGATAAACAAAGCTCCCTACATTGCAAAAACAAGTTTTAAAAACTAATCACAAATCACAATGCAAATCTAGATCAATTCATGAACTAACAACGAAACATTTCTCACCACAACTATAAGCGCAATTGATAAAAGCGGTGACGATTTCGGTTTTCCATCACCGAATCTCCGAGAAGAACTCCCCGGTCTTCTTGACATCATAACTCGATTCAGATGTTGTTGTTATGCAAAATTGAATAATCTGAAAAATTAGAGATTGTGATGATTTTATTGAAGCGAGTGAAAATGAAAGCGCGTTGGAAATAGATCTGAAAAGAGGAATTACCAGTGAATAGTGTTAATGGAGTTGCATTATGAAAAGGTAGATCTGAATAAAGGAGAGAATGAAAGAGAAAGAACAGAGACTGATTGATATGTAATGTGGAGATGTGAGAATGGGAGGAAAATAGAAGAACGGATAGATTTTGATGCTTCATGTAGTGTCGGTTGGTACATTTCCAATTGTGTCCAAATCATGATTAATGGGCCATATCTAAGTTAATATGGGCTTCTTTTTTACCCAATCATGATTATTAATGGGCCATATCTAAGTTAATATGGGCTTCTTTTTTTACCCAATACATTTTACTGAGATTTTATTCCGTCACTCCTGCTGTTTAATCTGTCATCCCTGGAAAAATTTTTTCTCATATTTGTGGTGTGACTTACACCTCTAAAAACTCTTAATTGCCTTCAGAAATTTTTAGAGATATATTTTTGGACTCACCTGTATCACCTCATCCTTTGGAAATCAATCAGTCACTCCATTTTTTTGTCAAAATTTGGTCTGGAGATGCATCTTCGAAATTTCAGAGATGAATTTAGAGACGCATCTCTGAAAACCCAAAACCCAAGTTATTACATGTTTTTCATTGGAATTGACGTTGTTGTCAGGGACTATATGTCGATTTTAACCAATATTAGAGTTATAAAAATTGTATTCGCGCATTCCGCCCTTTGCATTCATGCTTTATGGCCTTTACACGACCTAGCATAAAAAACTCGATTTTTTAAAAAATTGACTATGATATAGTGTATATTAGTGGCGATTTGGTTCTACTAGTTGGTATTATTGTGATTCTGATTGTAGATTTTATTGTTTTTAAGGTGTTAGTAGTAGTGTGATGTAAATTCTTACTTTTGAGGGCTTCCCCCTTGTTTTTATGTGTGGTTAGCAAGCCTTATGCTTCCTAGTATGGAGATGTAAATATCCTCAAAGACTTTAAGACATCTAGCCCACCAGAAAGTGATAAGATAATCCCTACCTATTTTAATAATGTCTTTGTCTTTAGTTTTTAAGGTTTCAAAAAGCCAGTCCTGGATATTATCATTAAGTTTGTTAGATAAATAAAGATTAAAGTTAGATCCAAACCATATCTTTCTAGCCCACTCACAATCCTTAAAAGTATGGTTTATAGTTTCACCATACTTTTGGCATCTATGGCAGAATAGGGGGTTGATGCATTTCATTTTAAACTATATTCTAACATAAATAGCCTTGTGGAGAATGCGCCAACATATGGTGAGGTTTAATACTCTAGAACTTCTTCCATACCTTGGACTCACTACTAGAATTTGAGTTTTCAAGGTTATGAGCCCTACTAAAGTTACGAAACTAATGGTAACCAGTTTTCATCATGTAATCATAGCCATCCACATAATCATATCTTTTTTGTTATTGTCTCTTATAGGGGTTTGAACGATCATGTTTTTGTAGTGAGGCGTTCGACAGTTTTTGTGTTGCCTCAGGTATTGCAAGGCACAAAACTACTACAGGGACTCCACAATAAAATGGTTTGGTATAAAGGTTTAATCGAACTATTTTGGAAAGAGTTAGATGCATGTTGACTAGTGTTGGGTTAAAGAATGTGTTTTGGGTTGAGGCTGTTTCAACAACAACATATCTAATAAACAGATGTCCTTCGACGACGTTAGATATGAAAACACCAGAAGAAGTTTGGTCGGGACATCCTCCTAGTCTCGACAGACTGAGAGTATTTGGATGTGTGGGCTATGCTCATATTAGGCAAGACAAGGTCGAACCTAGAGCTCTGAAATACATGTTCATGGGATATCCGGAAGGAGTAAAAGCTTATAGGCTATGGTGCCTAGAGCCAGGTCACAGGAAGTGTATCATCAATCGAGATATAGTTTTCAATGAAGCTGAGATGACTTTCAAGAAAAATGATGATGCGGATGAAGAGATAGAACAAGGAGAGATTCTTGTTGAGGTGAAGCATGTTGATGCTGAATTGCGTAACCCAAATGAAGTCGAAGAAGAAGCAGAAGCTAATGTCGAAGATGAAGAGACTGATAATGACTACCTTCTAGCAAGAGACAGGTCAAGGAGAGTTATCAAGCCACCTCAGAGACTTGGTATGTAGATCTTATAGCTTATGCATTAATCTCTACAAGTGAGGTTCACGATGAAGAACCTAGAGACTATAAGGAAGTTATGAGGAGTCAAAAGAAGACTGAATAACTGAAGGCCATGGATGATGAGATGAAATTTGTTCATGATAACAACATCTGAGAATTGATCAAGAAACCTGTTGGAGTAAGGTTAGTCAGTTGTAAATGAATTTTTAAAGTTAAGGAAGGAATCGAAGGAGTGACGTCGAAAAGATACAAGGCAAGATTGATCGCTAGGGGTTTCACTCATATAGAAGTTGTCGACTTCAATGATGTGTTTTCTCCTGTTGTGAAACATAAATCAATTCGAAAGTTTCTTGCCACGGTGGCATAGTTCGACCTTGAACTGGAACAGATGGATGTGAAGACCGCGTTCTTGTATGGTGATTTAGATGAAACATTCCTGATGAGACAACCTGAAGGGTATGTTGAAAAGGGGAAGGAAGATTATGTGTGCAAGCTGAAGAGATCCTTATATGGACTGAAACAATCTCCTCGAAAGTGGAATAAGAGATTCGACAGGTTCATGGAACACATAAGTTTCATTAGAAGGCAATTTGAGCATCGTGTTTACTTCAGATTTCGACCTGGTAATTCATTTGTTATTTTGTTGCTTTATGTGGATGATATTCTAATAGCAAGCAATAATGTCGAGGATGTAATGAGGGTGAAGGTTGAACTCAATAAAGAGTTCGACATGAAGGATTTGGAAGCTACGTCCAGGATTCTTAGGATTGACATCCGAAGAGATAGAAAGAAGTTAAAATTATGCTTATCTCAAGAGGCATACCTACAGAAGATTCACGAAAAGCTTGGTATGTCAAATTCAAAGCCTGATGTGAGATTTGGACATGATGTTTCTCTCCGTCTATCATTGGACGATGTGAGTGTTTTGGATATAACGTTTTCTTCCCGTCTATCAATAGACGATGTGATTTTGGATATTGTGTCTATCATCAGACGATGTTGGTACTTGACGGTGATGTCGGGTGTTTCTCAGAGTTTTGTATCCCCACAGGTACTTGACGGTGATGTCGGGTGTTTCTCAGAGTTCTGTATCCCCACAGGTACTTGACGGAGATGTCAGGTGTTTCTCAGAGTTATAGTTAGCTGGCGGCGATGTCAGGTAATTTTATTTTCCCAGCGGTGAGGTTGGATATTTTTTCTGGCGGCGATGTCAGGTAATTTTGTTTTCCTAGCGGCGAGGTTGGATGTCTGTTTTCCTGGGGGCGATGTCAGGTAATTTAGTTTTCCAGCGGCGATGTTGGGTGTTTTGGTTGTCCGGCGGCGATGCCAGACGCTTTATTTTTGTGAATGACTGGCGGCGATGTTAGAGGATCGTATCTTTAGGGTCGATGTTCGTTTTATTTAACAGAGGTCTAACGACGATGTTAGCTACTTTACCAACTGGAGATAGAGAATTGATGGCGAAGACAGATGATGTTGAGAGCTGACAGCGATGTCAGATTACTATTGGGAACTGACGGCGAGGTCAGGTGTTTCACCAATTTTATGTGGAGTTCTGACGACGAAGTCAGATGTTTTACAAATTTGATGTTGAGTTTTGACGGTTATTTTATTGGATATTAATGACTGACAGCAATGTCAGAGGTTTCTTTTTGCGGTTGGCAAATTTCCGGGTTCTTTTGTATTCAATCACCTTCTACCAGGAACGTCTGAAAGCGGCTGCTTTTCATCCCTTCTGGTCCAAGTCGATGGAATAGGGGCAACTGTTGCACCCTAAAATTTGCCCACTTGTTTTTTGGCTTTGACTGGCTTTTGCTTCGTTTTCATATGCATATCATTTAGGCTGCATTTTGCCCGTGTTATCAGCCGGATTGAACTTATCAGAATTTTAGCCGCTTTGCTCGCGTTTCAGGCGATTCAAATTAATTCAAATAAGAAGTTCAGTGTCAAAATCGAGCGAAAGTCGCTCTCCTCTTGATAATTCAATCCATGTCAATAACATCGGCGCATTTCGGTACTCGCCCGTTTTTCCATGGCATTTTGCATTTATTTATTATTTTTTGCTTTATTTAATCATTTAGAATAGTTATTTATTTCTTTCTTTAGAATAGATTTTATTTTTATAGTTTTTATATAGAAGTTTAATTTATTTGAATTTTTATTAGAAATAGTTTTTCTTATTTAGAATAGAAATAAATTATTTTTATAGTATAGAATTAATTTGTTTTTAGAATCATTTTAGGATTTTAGAATTAAATTAGTATTGTTAGAGATATTTTAGGATTTAAATATTTTTTAGATTTAGATTTTTTATTCCAGAGTTTTAACAGTTTTACTTTTTAGAAATAGTTTATTTTTAGAATATAGATTTTTTGTTTAGAAAATAAGTTTTAGAATATTAAATAGTTTTGAATAGATTTTTATTTTCATATAGAAATTATTTTATTTTATTTTATTAGTTTTTTTAAATATTTTTGTTTATAAGTTGTTTAGAGTTATGTATTAAATAGGTTTTTTAATATTAGGATTTACTTGTAATTAATTTTATTTAATAGTTTTTGTTAGAATTTTCTTTTTAAAGTTATTCTCATTTTATTATATTAGAATTGGTTTTAGCATAGAATACTTATTAGTTTTTATTATTGCTCATTTATTAATTAGTTTAAAATAGTTTTTATTAATTAATTTTAATTTTTTAATGTTCATGTAATATATTTTTGTTTGTACAAAATTGTTAATGAAAGTTAATTCGTCCCAGCGGTTTGGTTTGGTTGTGTTATACC